AGAACGGGCTTCTCATTTTTTACTCTACCAGCTTCATCCGAACCGGTGCCGTGTTACTAGCGGGGGGCAGGCCCCTTCCTCTCCGAGTCAGTTGCCTCCGCTTTATTTCCCATCTTTTCCATTGGGCGACTTCCTTGCGCCAGTCCCATAATCCGGACTGCATAGTACATGTCTTTTTTCCTTAAATGCTGCGTGGCGATTACGCTAACCATCCAAAAGGGGGCAGCGGGAAAGGCCGGGGAAGAGTTGCTAAATGACAAATTAATAAAACGACATGTCTTTCAATATGAGTTCTTTGTCATGCTTCTGTTTGCTGCAATTTAGAAGTTTGGCCTGTTGCACGCGAAATGCTTTTTTCCCGTGCCACAGAGGTTCAGTTATCTCTGAAACATTTCAGTAGATTCGAGGAATTTCCAGCTCATTGAAAATTTTCCCCGAGTTTTTCCCAGCAAAGCTCGGTTCGTTCCTCAGTGGGGAGCCTAAAAAAAAAAATGGATGCATTCCTGGATTACGTGTATAAATTTTAGACAGAAGAAGCGAATCAGAAAATCGCTCGAGAAGAGAGGCCTCGTCGAATCTATCGATGCCACCGCCGACACCACCCGGCGCAACAGCTGAAACAGTCTTCAAGTCAGCATGTGGCGAACGAGTCCTGGTAGCGTATATTGTGGATGATCCGGAATTGGCCCAGGTGAAACTTGTGCACTCCTTAAAGCAGCGCTCCACGTAACGCCTCATCCTCATGCCCCCATCTCCCTTCGCTCGCATTACCCATGCCGTTGCACTTATTTTCACTACAGTCAATGCGTACGTCGAATAATTTCCTGAAGCACTTTCATTGTTTCTCGGAAATGCCGTCTGCTTGAAATGATGCATTTTTTTTGATCTTTGATCTTTTTCCGTCTTGTACTCAGTACAAACTCATTAATTTTATGATTCTTCCGGACTTTGTGTGCAGTATCGGGTGAGATCTTTGATCCGTGATGCCCCTTGGGCGCATGCCTGGACAGCCGTCAAGAAATTTTTTTTTTGCGTTTAACAGTGCAGTGTTTTTTTTTTTATGGAAGGAATCGAAGTTTTTTTACCGCCCTCCCATTATTTAAACAGCATATTAAGGAAATGGCAATTTTATATGAAAGGAATTTTAGTTGTAGTTG